TCTCAGCTATGAAGTTCGCCCAGGATATTCTGGCATAAATGGACACAAAATAGTTTGAGGAAGATTTTGTTTCGCATACGATACGACGAAACTTTGCCCCAAAACTTTGCTTAAAACCTCGTAAAATATTAAATTGACCCGTAACAACCTAATAATATAACGAAAACTTACTGCACCGTGAACTAAATTAATTACGATACAGAGATTGCACATATTTCGCGATGAAAAGAGAAGAAATCGACCAGCTGTGGATAATTAAAGATTAAAATTTCTCAAACTTTATTAACGACACTACAAATAAAATACCGTAGAAATATTAAATTCCAAAGAGATCCCGTTCAACGAATTCCCAATCGAAAAATTCTTTCCATTTTCCACTTGTAACAGGCATCGCATGTTTAATCGATGCACGAACACCTCCAAATTCAAAAGATTTCTCACAGTTCGGATCAACTTATTATCATAATACACGATTAACACTGCTAACTCAATCATCAAAGCGAAATTTCATTTGTCCAATGATGAATGGATCTTATTAAACTCGTAACACGTTCATTACTTTCAAGAGTACGTGTATCGAGCAAATTTTCGTCGTTGGCCAAACACAACATTCTCGCTCGTATATAACTCGGGGACAAAATTATTTCGTTGCTTCCTTCCCCTCCCCTTCCCCTTCCCCAGATGGCCGTGCAATCATCGAAACTTTGCGGTCGACCGAGAATGGAATCAAAGAGATATCGAGAGTAACGATTTAACCGGAGACCCATTCGAAATCGCGATCCAATCCGACCAATAATAATTGATCCTGACGATCGATCGATCTCTTAAACGATTCGCCCAATTATTTGACCGAATTCAGAATCTCGAACAACCCTCCCCCCCCTCCTTTTCCCTCTCCTCGTTTGTATCTTGCCTCGTCGAAAAATTCTATAATATAAAATATACGAGCCTTTAATTAACGATTCGCCCCGTTAACTCCATAATTCTTCCAATGCATCAAAATAAAAATTCAAAAGCGCGATTTAACTTATACCGACATACAGAAATTCAAGCAAAATTCGTCCAACGCGTTCGAGAAGAGGAACCATTTCGTCTCCAATTTCCAATACAGAAAAATCCGCGCGAATCGGAGACCGTGCCCCTTCCTCGTCCCTCCCCATCTCTCGTGTCGAAGATGCGTCTATTCGAGTAATGCACGAGTATTCAAATAGGCGTACGTACAATTTTCCACGAGAACATAAGCAGAGTGGGGGCAAAGGAGTTTGAGAAGGTTTCCACGGTTTTCCTCGTCCGACAGGCCACCTCTTGCATCACAATACTTCTCCAATTTCCTGAGCACAAGTTACGGGACACGTTCCATCATGACGTCACGGGGAACAAAGCTTTCCTGTTCACTTTTCGCCCTACAACATCCCTATAACCGTGCACGTCCTCCCTCCTTTTGTCTGTTGCTCTCCATTCTCTCTCTCTCGTTCGCTCTCTTCGTTCTGATACAACTTAGGTTAGGGTTATTGTGTCGCCTTTACTCAATGAAGAAGAAGGTAGGGTAAAATATATCCATGATAGTAAACTAAGTTCGCTCGAAGAGACGTCGATTGACGACTGTTCTCCTCCATCGACACGTCTCCACGATCGTCTTACTTTCTCAACTTCCACGTCGCGCGACTGCTACATTGATTTAACGAGACTACGTATCGAATGTTACTCGACGTTTGATTACCAAAAATCGATCGATGATATAGCAGGTCGAAATCGTATGACAGTGTTCTCGTTTCTGAGATGTTGGAGCGAATGTTTGTTGCGATCGTTGTATTGGTGTGTTATTACGAGTATATGTGAGTGAGTTTCTTGCAATAAGTTGTTGTGCTCGATATTGTTTCAATTATGTTATTAATGTTAATCGAGGTAAGTTTTGTAGAGGAAGGAAAATCAGAGATTCTTGATGTTATTTATGATTATTATTATTGTTGTTGTTGTTGTTGTTGTTTTTTTTTTAATATATCACGAACAGAGAGGGGAATTGTTTAAATTACGCGATCTTCATCACGTTTATACCATTTGATATTTAATTTTTAAAATATCGCGGTGACATTTGTCATTTCATTTCGCGATATAATTCAAAAAACGATTGTGAACGCGATGGCAGCCGATAAATTGCACATTCAACACCGAATCCAACTCCCTTCGCGTTTTAATATTTCATTTTCGATGAGAACTACATCGAAATTGCTGATATTACTTATATTTTATTTTCCAGTGTCAATACTGTGCGCGATATTAGGGGTGTTGCGAATTTAAAATTTTCGTTTTAAAAATTACCTTTAGCGTGTCAGCAATTTTGAAAATCGGGGATCAACAATAATTCATTAGACAAAACGGAGGATATATGATTTATATGACGAAAAATTTTCAAATTTTTTCACAATGGGATATCGCTCTTCTAAAAATCGATCATCCCGCAAATTGTTGCAACGACAACGATATTTATAATGTAAATGTTACGCGTAACAACTATATAACGCAATTATTTTTCTCATCGTTAAAATTTCCAAAAGTAAAATAAAATATACTCTCACGTTCCTCTATTGTCATCGCTGTTACAAAATCGATCGAAGAATTTTACCAATCTACATTCGAATTCACCAATACACCCCTATATTCGCAGTATTATTGTTAGCCCCGCGCAATCTGAAATTCCTGCAAGTGCGTTCGCATCGCATAATCTTGGAATAAATTGACTCCTCGGTGCTATCGTTACCCGTGATACCGGGTGAGGAGTTTCACCGATTACACCTGATCCTTCTGACAAAGGGAAACCCGTTCCACAATGCAGCCGTTTCGCTTCTGGAACGTAGCTGGAGACTTGTTATCCCTTATTTGGTAGCCGCCCGAGCAGAAACCTCTCGATCCTCTGCTCAACTTCGTTCCAGAGAGAGAGAGAGAGAGAGAGGAAGGATTAAAATTGGCAGAGATCGCGCTATACTCGATAATGAAAATTGATCAGAAATTATCGATTGCTTGTTACTTGCAAATATCTCAATTTTTCAAACGACGAGTTCTGCGATCGTAAGTCGTAGATTTTCTTTTTTTTTTTTTAGTAAGGGAAAGCATGGTTTGGGTGAAAGCCAAATGACTAAAGAAGGTCGAGACGAGAGAGAATCGAATGAAAGAAGAGTTAAAAGAGTTTCCAAGAGTGGTAATCTAGTTACGAATTAGTTTAGACAAGTTTAATTGAGATTACGACGTTGTATACTGCACAGAAGGAAATTGAATCGAAGAAATATCGATCGATTTTTGGCGAATATTTAATATATTGGCGAAAGGAGGAGGAGAACGTAATTGCATCTTCAAATTCCCTCGTCGATTTCCACGAAACTTATAAGAATCGAGCGTCTTCGATATACAAGTCTATTAATCTAAATCTAATTATTCGTATCGTAACGATTTATAATCAATCCCCTCTCGTGTCCTCGAAAATCTTTCATCGACAAGACGAACGAACGTGGATCATTTTCATAAGCGTTTCGTCCATCCGAGGATTGCGACCTCTTTCGAACCACCTCAATGGATTTATGTCGTCAAGTTGCACAATGCGAATCCATTTAAATAGCTGGAAAGAGGCGCGCTCTCGCTTCCACTCGATCTTCGTGCCTGACGTGTAAATGCCGGGGTTAATGCGACGCGCTCCATTAAAGTCGAGCCCCGACACCCCGGAACATTGCTAATTACACGTGGTGCGCATAGCCGCCGCCCGTGGTGCTCGCCAGTCATCCCTCCCCCTTTTCTGCTATCCTTTCCCCGGATTTTCCTTCCATCCTGCTTCCCGCACAACTCTCGCCCTCCCTTTACACGGCTCTCTACCTTCCAATTTGCCTTCCAATTCTCTCACGGTGTTATGTCTTTTGTCGCGCCCCTCCGTGCTTCTTCCTCCCTGCCTTCTTGCTGATTTTTGTGCGCAGCGCATTAGAACGCTTCGCTCTATCAGACGTTGATAAATCTTTGAATTGAATCCAATATTTTTTTTATCTACGTTTCAATTAATGAATAAAAATATATCGTTCTCAAGTTGGATTGGAATGAGAATTTTCACGAAGTCATTTAAATAATATACGTATTTGCGTAGCCGTCTGCTGCTTGACGCGTATGTAAGCTAATAACTTTTCTGTTTGTTCATCAACAATAATATTAACAGGTTCGTTAGTTTAACCAGAACTATTTCGAAACTATTTATAATACACACACTCTATTAGCCTCTCTCTAACTTTCTTCCTCTTGTTTCACCTACTTTTTGATTAGCCTAAAGAAACTCGCGACAAGGCAAGGGATGAAAGAAATGAAACCTCGTTCTTGAATTAAATTACAAAAAAAAAAAGATCGAAAGAAAATTCGTTTTCGCTAAATTAAATTTGTTGTTCTAACTCAAACGTTGTATATTTTAAATGACCGAAATTTTGATTACAAGCTACTATTTTAACTTTCCAAGAAAAAGCTTATCGTATGATAAAAATGATACGAAAATCGTATCCTCAAAAAAAAAAAATTATTATCCGAATTTCCATTTAATTTTCACTAACAACCCCCTGGAAAAGTTTGGTTTATACCCGCGCGAGGGGCGGGAGAATTAGAAAAGCTGCGGATCGTCTTCCACGCCGGGGGAGGAAAGATTGAAAAAGTTTCGTTCGAAACGTCAGCCCCGCAAAAATACGGGTTGGATTCGCGGAATCCCCCCTTTTGTAACTCGTCACTGCGCCGGCTAACAAACTCGCCCATTAGGGAAGGGAAACCCCCGTTTTCACGCGGCTGTTCCTGACAATTGCACTCGCTCGCCACGAAAACGTACGCCGAAGAATTATCGCGCATCATGCGCAGCCGAACTCGTAAGATCCGCCAACCAACCAACCAACCAACCAACACGATAATCGCAAATTCATCCCTCCTCCCCCACCCTCCTCGACCGTCGGGGGGATTAAATCCCGCCCTACGACTCGTGTTCATAATACCTGTTGTGTCCGTTGCAAACTAGCCCCTCCAGAATTAATTTCACCGACGGAATAATACCCACCTATTTCCAGAAACCATTCTCGCGTAGAAAGATCTCGCCCGTGGAAATTTTCACGGGAATTCTGGATGGCCGGGTCGTTTTGGAACAGAATGATTTCTTGTTTTTTTTTTTTTTTTTTCTAATTCGTCGATAACAGCTCTGTTTCGTTTCGTCTTTGATTCTCGACACACGTCCATTTGTCGTATTCGATTAAAAATATTCTCTGTTATCTCACGTCTTCTATCAAGTTCGAGCGAATGTATTAATAAAATTTCGACGAATTTACACGAATTATGATATCATTCGCAGACGAGAAGTGTAACAATCGTCGATTTGAGGAAAAATCTTTGGAAAAAAGAATAAAGTGTTCAACTTCACGAGGGCAACAATTTGCAGGGCATTTCTATGGGGGGTTAATCATTTTATTCGCAAAAAAGGAGAAGAAAAAAAAAAGGCTTCTTAATAACCGACAGTTACAATCATCATTATCCGACGAATTATTCGAGCGAAAATAGATGGCTAATCGAATCTTCCGCACGATCATATTTAAAAAGCCGACAAATTCGTCGCTTGATCCAATATTTTTCGAATACAATCGAGCAGAAGGAACAACTCTTGTAACAGGAGCTGGCTGAAGACTCGGCTCGTTCGGACGGCGACATCCTGTTCAGAACAAAGCCCATTGCCGTCCAGTGAATCTCCAACCAGTCCTTCTGCGGCCGGATAATTGCAAATTCCATTTCGACGAGGGGCAAAACCGCGGGGCCAATGTGGTAGTATGCTGTCGTGGAAGCGCATTAGCGATCGGGCTGATTGCACCTCGCTTTTGCATACTACCTGCTCGTTCTGTAACGGCAATCAACCCGTTAAGAAACGGAGGGCGGGCGTGTAAAAGCGTGTAAAAGCGAAGAATTCGAATCGACTCTCTCCTTCGAACAGGGATATCTTATTACTTATTATACCGTTTTCGGAATAGCGATGAACTCTCTCTCTCTTTCTCTCTTATCTCGTCTTCTTTTTCATTTGGCAAGAACGTGTCAAGGAAAATTCGGATCGTTCGATTTCTATCTCGAAGAAAGTCCTACTCGTGTTTCCTCGAGTCTGTTCGACGACTCGAGTTACTGTGAACGGGGGGGGATTATAATGGAACTTTTATCATGTACGTGTTAGAAAATATTTCATCGAATATTTGGATATTACTTTTTTTTTTTTGGCACTCGAGAAATTTTGAATAGGTTAAAGTATGGAGGATTTTTTTTTTATTAACGATAATTAATTTATAATTGAAAAATTTAAAGAGATTTTGATGAAAGAAAGGAAAGTGAAAAATTTTGTTAATAATTATTAATTAGATCGTGTATATTTTCGATATGATCGGGGAACGCGATATTTGTTAACTTTTAATATTTGGAGCATTAATTCGTACGAAATTTGTTACATCGAATGGTGCGCACAGGGTAGTTTGTTATCCAATATCCGTGGATCCAGAAAATCGATATTTCAATTAAAACGCGGTATAAATTTACGTGTCACTTTTTCGAATTTCCCGTGAAATTGCAATCTTGTCAAAACAAAATGAATAATTAATATCATTGAATTTCTTCGACACGTTCCCATGATTGAAAATCATTAGTTAGATATTTCTAACTAAAATATTCTAATCAATATTTTATTTATCCTCGTAATTTAATTTTACATCCAATATTGTTACGAAATGATTATCAAAAAATTTTGAGTCGCAAATATAACGCACAACTATCATAAACGAATTCAATTGGCTCAGGTATTTTCTAGATCCTTTCTCGATATTATATCGGCACATTGTCGCACATAGCATCGTTTTTCTAACCAATAAACATGGTTCTATCGATTATTGATAACACCACGTTAGACGGATATCCCTTTCATTCTTCTTACGAATCGATTTATATTGAATCTAAAATGAAATATTAATTTAATTAATTAAATTAAATTTTGATAATAATAAATGTTATTTATTTTGATTTCATTTTCACCTTTATGAATTCTAATCGATAAATAAATATCAAATTTACGGCCAAGTTGAAATTATTATAATTATTGATCGCAGAATTAAATTGTTAAATTTGATAATAAATTCAGCTTTGAAATATTTCGATAATTCGAAACGTCTATTTAATTATAAAATCGATTTCACGTACGCGAATATCGGTTATTGATTCCCATAAGCAAACTTTTATTATTATACCGATCCTGATGAATACCATCTACATACTTTGAACATTCAATTTTGATTAAGATTTTATTGATTTTTCGAAGCGCGCAGAAACGAATAAAGCAAACGAGAAAACGGCGAATATCGATCCATGCTAAAACTTACGTAAAAACTTTTTTTTCCAACGGAAAAATTAAAAATAAAAAAAGACAATAGGATGTGCACAAATATAACTTAAAATTTTCCGATTTCTCAGTACAATATTTGCATACTTTCGACCTACTTGTCCGAACCGGTGTTAAAATTTTTCCAAACACGACAGATATCTCTCCCACTTCGTTAAAAAACCTTTACGTATTTATTATTCCCCCCCTCCCTCCCCTCTTTAAAATCGTAAATAACGATCCGCCATTACGTTACATCTTATGAATTAAACATTTGAAATTCGCGCGGGTGGAGAATGCACGATTGCGGCGAACGAAATAAGCGAGGAGAGTCAAAGTTTCACGGGTCACTTTACGGCAAAACTGCTCCTCCAGATAACTTAAATGTATTAGAGTTTCCCCGGATATAAATCATTTTACATTCCGCTTTAGCGTGCGCCTCGCGTATATCATTTTATTCGGCGCACTTCACGTACTTGCACCCCCGGCCACGTATATTGCATACACATTAAAGCGCTACGCAAATTACATTCGAGAGATATTTCCACGGCGAGTACAGTTTACAATTTTAATAGCCGTTTCAAATACTATAATTTACTCTCCATCCTCCTCGACTATCCTTCGACTAATAATC